GACCCATGTGCTACAGAAATTGCTTTCAAAGCAGAGTCACTGATTTTGACTGGCAATGAGCAGGCGAAACAGTCATCCTTATGTGGTTTATAGACGACAGACTATGTCGACTGAGCATTGGGACGCATTTTTCTCCTATTCCTAACTAGCCCACTGGTCCTTTTAGGAATAGGATTCGGAGGAGTGATGTCTTGCTTCCTATGTTTGAGATCTAGTGGTGTTTGAGTTGGGTGATCCGAAGTATGGACACTAATATGAGGAATGCTTTCAAGTGACGATTTCAGTTTTTTCACATCTCGGTCGCACGAAACAGGAATTTTCGACTCACTATTAACCCCGCTGGTTTTCCTGGTTGGTATAGTGTAAGATGTGCTAGCAACTTTGTTATTTAACATGATACCAGAGAGATTTAGAGGTGAAATACGAGATCAATAAGATAGGATATACATGAAATAGGGATTTAGGAAAGAAGAATTTAGTAGTATATAATATAACTACAAGGAATAGAGCCTTAAAGTACTCCGAAATCGCAACTTTACCTTTAACCGTTCTAGTAAGTAACTTCGAGTGTATCCAGCAACTTTTCCACAAGTGCTGTGTTTGTGAGTGAGTGAATGTGCGTATGCTGCCGAAGTAACTAGGATGAGAGCAGTTGATCGCGGCAACTAGACCTACCGCACAATGGTTCTGACTTGGAATTATTCCGTTTGCCCGAAACTGCATTCAGATTGTCGACCGGTGAATGGAGACAACTTTTTTGGCTTTGAGAGTGATTAAATATGCCAAACTGGAGTCCGAAAATGGATTGTTTCCTGTAAATGGAGAGAGCTCAACAAGGTCACGTCAATTTTCAAGCGCATTTGTTTCCAGGATGTTGCTTTGCAGGGTTAGTTCATGCAACTTATCTACGTCTTCCAGGAGAGTTGTTCACCTAAGGTAAAAGTGTTCCGACTGATATAGCGAACTACGTCCATTGTCTGAAAGAACACATGAGTGATCTAAGAATAAAGCTTATGAAGATAAATCAACATCCTGTATATACTCCGAAGCAACTGAGCGATAGTACCAATGTATTTATCAGAAGCGATATTATGAGACGTCCCTGACAAACGACCAACAATGATCCTTTTAAAGTGATCACAAGAAACTGCGAAAATATCACGGTAGACAGAGTTGGGAAATTGGGTGCGATCAGCACAGACCGGGTTAAACCAACCTTTATCGAAATCGATGAATAGCTAATAAGCACAAATCCTTCGAAATCCACCGAATCACCGAAACGCCAGTTCCACCCATCAGCGACAGCAACGAAGTAAAGTGAAGAAAGTCTAGTGATGACTAGATATGGAGGAAGAGTCAGATGGTCGCAAGGATATATAGCTACGATTTGGAAGTGATAATTTCTTCCACCATTTCGAATATCAGTTATTTTTCTTCGCTCCATATATGGACGTCGAAGATTTTAACTGATCTATTATTAGATTAGATACGCTTTATGTATTCGGATGTTAAGGTGTTACGACCTGAAAATATCGCCATATATTTTTTGATCTGTATTCATCAGGCCTCACGAACGTAAATGAACTAGATAACTTTATCGTTCACAAATTTTGGTATTTTCCAATTATTGAATTTTTTGTTAGGATATTCATCAAATATCGAAAGAGAAATACTTTTGTAAGTGTAATTCTATTATTATTATTATTATTATTATTATTATTATTATTATTATTATTATTATTGGTCAACTCCTACTGGTCAATATTATGGTCGTCCTAAATATCAATGTCACAGACTTCAATATCGTTTCCTATTAGACCTAACTGTATAAATATATATGAAGCTTATAATTCCTTAACTCCTTCTGTACTTGACCCCATAAACAAAGTCATCCAACGGTGTTGTATTCTGATATATGTGATACTTGAGGACAGTATTTGAGGCCGTACTGGTAGATCTAAATTTGGTCAGTCGTTAGGACTTCGTATACCTACATAGGTTCATCATAACATTTTTCTCGCAAAAACAGACACTTTCGTATCATTGTCTGCTGCGACGAATCTGTTCAGTTTGTCCACATTTAATCTGATTAGACATTTTGATTAACTTATTTATTTGAGTCATTTGTATAGCAATGGCTTGTATATACACTTGGCTTTGATTATTGTCGGGTTTGTATGAGCAGTATGACTGAACATTGCTTACCGCCTACGTACATATTCATCTCATTCGCTTCAATGTTAGCCTCTTAAATATTTCTCTGACTCATCCATTTTTCTGTGTATATGTATGTACATTTTGATCTTCTTGCTTCATTCTTTGATTTGCTCACTCTCTTATTGATTTTATCTGTGTGCCTGTGGTTTGGTGGTCTATCTGTGGTGCACCAAACGAACGTATTCAACACTTCGTATTCCCCTTTTGATTTCTAAAACAGTGAGGCGTTATTTTAGTAACGGTTATTTGGCCGAGCAACATACGAAGTCTGAGAACATATCGAATACCGACCGCTTCGAAATTACTGAGACGCCGGCCACCCTATAATTGGTGAGTCTGACAACGAATCAAACGCAACCACAGAATTACTGACACTGACCACCGAACTCAACTCAGCTTTCGCAATTCATTCAAAATACGGAAATCCATTTAATCAATCTAAATAACCTATATGCATGTAGGTTGCTACCATTCATATGAACAATATTTAGACAGAAGAGGCCAGGTCGCCCATGCATTTCAAAGACAAGTTATCAGTCATCTATAAACGGACTCTGCAAGGTCCCCGAAGGTTACAAGTTAATTGGATTGACTAAACAACGTTAACAATACTCACCTGATAGGAATGTCTGAAATATAGGCAATTTCACAAATCACGGACCAGCAGCTGGCAATACGCGATTTGGCTTGTCCTTTAGTGACAGAAAACTGAAGTGGGAAATCCTGCATCAACCAACCTATTCGGAACAACACCTAGTTTATACTTAAACATTTGTCACTCTTGATGAATATGGATAACGCTTAACGAGATTTTTGAACACCTCAAGATGTTAAGTAGAAGTAATCGATAAAAAACATTAAGAAAGAAAATTGTAACCTGGTGGGGTCATCTAGACCTGCTCATCTCGGATTCACTCATGTCTTTATCAAAGGATAGTTCAGTCTTTCTAAAGTCAACTGTGCTGACCACATGTACAATGACATCGATAATTCGACTAGATCTGGATTCTGCAATCTCACAATAATAATACTATTATTAATAATAAGATGCAAAATTAACAACTCGGTGTAGATGCATTTAAAATCCTTAGCACTTGGATTACATATTCAAGAACAAATCCTTTCTATTGGACCACCTATTCTTTGAAAAAGCAGTCATGTCATCATGGACTTCAATTTCAGTTAGCGGAAACGACTTAAAATATCCTACCAACAAGAGATATCGGAATTTAAAATCTCTAGATTTATCAGATTTAAGGGACAGTAAGCAGCAAGTGGACTAGGAAATCTAGCCCCAACATGATATGGACTCCCACTGGGACCCTGTTTGCTACAGTTTGTTACATAAACAGTTCGCAAAGGCTACGAGCAACCCACAGTCGTTAATGATCACACTTTTCGAATGCTAAAACTCAAAAGGTACTATTGAGCAGAGCATAAACGAACTTGCGATGCCAGCATATAAACTTAGTTCAAACTAGCAAAGAAGCTATGTACAGAGAGACTAAGAGAAGATGGGCTCCAATATCAAATCAAGCTAATCGATAAATCTGTCTTTAATCCGAAAGCTTATTTCGCTATGTAGCCTCCATTAGGATAGCCAGAGTCGGAGTTTCCAAGTTGTCAGATCCTAATGGCCCAATCAACAGTCAAAGGTTGTATGGAAGAGCTGCCGGTAAAACAGTATCTATAAGCATTTCAACACTTTAACCTACAATAACGAGGGCTATATCTGCAACCGAAGAGGAGTTTCAGAAGTGAACATGGTCTCCGGCCTGGTGAGTCGAGAATTACTTCCGCTAAATAAGGACACGTCCACACATGATTTACTCTGTTATAAGTGGATCCGATTAAAGCAACATCGGCCAGTTGCACTTATTCCAAAACCTTAAAAAGCTATGGAACTACGGTCTATGTGACATTTTTTCTCAGAAACCCTGTTTCAAGACTGGCCATTTCAGTATAGCCAACCAATTGACTGCAGGGGACGGACAGACAACCATCCTTAATCCTAAAAGGAAAGTTGATGTGATAAATCTTGACTTCTCAGTAGTTATTGATAGGATTATTATACATGTTTTATTAATAGGCTCAAATCGTTAGACTTCAGGATATCCTTATGGGCTCACCCACAGTTCAGTACTAGGACCTATTCTGTTTTCAGTTAGGCCCCCCTCAGCAAGAATTGTCTGAGTTACTACCTCTTGATGGTGCTGTCTGACCCCATATAAAAATTTGGCAAATGACAGCAGAATTACTTTAGGCGCTGAGAACATCAAATAGATACACCTGAAACATGCTAAAAATATGCATACAACTTATGTAACTCTCCATCAGAGTTATCCCAAGTTGAAAAATCTCGAGAAGTGCACAATGATGCAAGCGAAATCTAAAGGCAACCTCAATAAATTGTCTAATACATTTCTCCATATTAGAATCTAATGGAAAACTGTAGGTACTCAGATATTTCTCAAAGATTACATCATCAGTAATGGAGTACATATTGCGAAACTAGGGCACAAGATCTGCCTTATAATGTGGTAAAAAAATGACTAACGATTTGAAAATTTAACCCAGTTTAATCATTTATCAATTCGAAAAAGAAAATTTTCGACTAAACTCATTTTAAAGCTGTCACAGATTTCACATTTGAGTTTGTTTGATTGCATTGTTAGAGTGACGTATACTAAGCCAGCCAATCACCTTCGTCCACATATACTACCATAGTAATTTAAGCGAAGGTTTGCTGATTTAGTCAGGATTTTGTAACGTTCCGTTGAATTATGTCGCCGTACCTGCTGGTGCTGTCATGCATTTTATATCTGGTGTTAGGGGAAGAAAAGAAGGAAGATTATGGAACGGTAATAGGCATTGATTTAGGCACGACATATTCTTGGTAAGTCCTTGGTCTCCAACCTTAATTCCTTTTCCAGTGTTGGTGTTTTTCAAGGAGGTCGAGTTGAAATAATTGCAAATGACCAGGGCAATAGGATTACTCCTTCTTATGTCGCATTCACTACGGAAGGCGAGCGACTAATCGGAGATGCTGCTAAAAACCAGCTGACAACGAATCCGGAAAACACAATTTTCGACGTCAAGAGACTCATTGGAAGAAACTTCGATGAATCGACTGTACAGGCGGATATAAAGCATTTTCCTTTTTCTGTCATTAATAAGAAAAACAAACCGTATGTGGAAGTCAACGTTGGATCAGAAGTCAAGACGTTTGCACCTGAGGAGATCTCGGCAATGGTGTTAGGAAAGATGAAAGATAGTGCTGAAGCTTACCTAGGTAAAAAGGTTACTCATGCAGTAGTCACTGTCCCAGCCTATTTTAACGATGCACAGCGCCAGGCGACCAAAGATGCTGGCACTATTGCTGGTTTAAATGTACTCCGGATTATCAACGAACCGACTGCTGCTGCTATTGCTTACGGTCTGGATAAGAAGGATGGTGAAAAGAATATTCTAGTGTTTGATCTTGGAGGTGGTACATTTGATGTTTCATTACTTACAATTGAAAATGGAGTATTTGAGGTAGTTGCTACGAATGGTGACACACATCTTGGAGGAGAAGATTTCGATCAGCGTGTCATTGATCATTTCGCCAAGCTTATACTGAAAAAGAAAGGTAAAGATATCAGGACTGATAAACGTGCGGTCCAAAAACTGAGACGCGAAGTTGAAAAGGCAAAAAGATTACTAAGTACCACTCAAACAGCTAGAGTAGAGATTGAGTCACTTATTGATGGTGAGGACTTCTCCGAAACACTCACGCGTGCAGTATTTGAAAAGCTGAATATGGATTTGTTCTTGCAAACTTTAGAACCAGTCAGGAAAGTCCTTGAAGATGCAAGTATGAAGAAATCAGAAATTCATGAAATCATCCTAGTTGGTGGGTCTACTCGCATTCCTATGGTTCAAAAACTCTTACACGACTTTTTTGACAAAGAACCTAACAGGGGAGTTAACCCTGATGAGGCAGTTGCGTACGGTGCAGCTGTCCAGGGTGGCGTTATTGGTGGTGTGGAAAATACTGGTGGTGTTGTACTTCTAGACGTATGCCCACTAACTTTGGGTATCGAAACAGTTGGTGGCGTCATGACAAAGCTTATTCCAAGAAATACAGTTATTCCAACGAAGAAATCACAGATATTTTCCACAGCCGCAGACAATCAGCCGACTGTCACCATACAAGTTTACGAGGGTGAACGAGCTATGACGAAGGACAATCATTTTCTCAACAAGTTCGATCTGACAGGTATTCCTCCAGCAATGCGTGGAGTTCCACAAATCGAGGTAACGTTTGAGATTGACGTCAATGGTATACTTAAAGTTTCAGCCAAAGATAAGGGGACTGGCACTTATAAGGACATAATCATCAATAAGGACCAGCAGCGTTTAAATCCAGAAGAGATCGAAAAAATGATCAACGACGCAGAGCAGTTTGCAGCTTCCGATAAAAAGTTGAAAGAGCGCGTTGACGCCAGGAATGAATTTGAAAGTTCTGCTTATACACTAAAGTCTCAGATTGCAGACAAAGCTCAGCTAGGGGGAAAACTTAGTGCTGATGATAAGAAGAAAATCGAAAAAGCTATTGAGGAAGCTATTTCATATTTAGACAGTAATCCACAAGCTGAAGCGGAAGAATTAAAGCAGAAAAAGAAAGCATTCGACGAAGTTGTCCAGCCCATTATTTCCTCATTGTATCAACAGTCAGGAGCCCCTCCCCCAACTCAACCTGACCAGGAAAGAGACGAACTGTAAAGGTTTGATTTTGTATCCCCTGTACATTCTCCAATGTTTTTATTTCCATTTTTGTTTGATAAATGATATGGTACACGCTTGTATTTTGGGATCTAGTTATATCTACAATATAACAAGTCACTCTTATCGTATTATTCTGGTTAATTTTGGGATTCATTTGATCAGACGACACCTTGTCAGGGACGTTTAGGTCGCAATGCTTGTGTTCACGAAGGGTAACAATCTTGTCATTCTCGAAATACACATTCTCAGTACCTTGAAGGCCAGTCGACTGCTATTATCAAGCGCAGCCCGTTTATCGATTCCTCATATCTCTTCAAACTCACCGAGAGTATGTGCGTCTCTGTTGGTGTGGGATATTCATGTAAACACGGTATATAGTGATGAGTAGTGACGTTACGTTCTCAGTTGCGTAGTGACTTAAGTAGCATCTCAGTCCTCGTGTTCGGTAAAACTGAGTTAGGCATGATCTTAGGTCAGGGAGCAGAGACAGACAGATACAACGCAGAACTTCGTACGCAAGTACATCAGTCCATAGCACAGGGAGCCGAGAAGATTGACTGAGCACTCACCAAAGACGTATCTTACTACAACGGTTTAGGCAATGGGGTGTCTAAGATGTAGTATTTCTACCACAATTTCGTGTCGGTCAACAATGACGTAGATCTCTGTATGCACACCATCCCAAGCCGCCATACCACAGCATTTGCGGGTGGGGTTGTGAATTCAAATGCTATAGCGGTGATGGAGAAGACTAGGTTTGTGAGATATTCAAGAAGTATGAGCTAGTGAAATAAACTGAAAAGGGTAAAGGTGATGAGGAAGTCAGATAAGAATTTGTGAGAGCATGAAGAATGGAAGCACCTGCGCCATGGCAAATGGTTTCGAGTGCTATATATAGTACCCTTCCTCAGATCCTAGCATTGCACAATTAGCGGTCCCAGTGTTTCTTAGATACCTTTGGTTGAATGTTAGTAGCCTGAGAATGCCTGTTGTTAGTGGCCGCGTTTCACATCCCTGTAGTAGGGTGTAGCGAACTACTGCATGGTAAGCTTATCCTTTGGTTGGCAAACGGATATCTCGCCTGCTTGTTACTTCCTGGCTAAAGCGTTTTGCGCTAAGAATATAAAGTGAAATATAGACAGTTAGTTGTGGCTTACGTTCATATCACAAGTTAGATGGGATCCTTCACCATTCATTGAACTAACTTATTGACCAGTTCGATCGTTGGATCCATGATTATAGACTATAAGTAGTCGCCATGTACGTTAGGAAAAACTTGGGAAGTGAAGTAATCACAAGCGCACTTAGGATCCTTGGTCGACTGTGGACCACATTACTTGGTCTCCCTAGTTTCGATCTCAGACCAACCAGGATGTGTATGCAGTTTATATTGATTGGTATCGTGTATTAGTTTACTTAAAGACATCAGTTGACATTGCTTATCAGCCCGCTAACCGGTTTCACTCATCTTCACAGCCTAGACGTCCCTCTCCTTCGTTTCATTAAATCCAAACAGTGTGTCGAAATAATTGGTAACTAGTGAACGTAAACTTTTAGATAGAAATCCTGTGCCAGTTTGGTTACATTTGATTGTGTAAATTGAGTTACTCAATGTCTAGGTTAGACGTGGTCTTAATCTCGGACTGGGAGTTAACTGACTCATGTACTGGTAGCTTGCATATATATTATTGAAATCAAGTAGCGCCTAAGTGATGTGAAGCCTCTAAAGATCGTCTGAACCACATAGACTTAATGAGTAGGTAATTATAAGAACAACTTACTTCGATCGTATACAAATTATCTCGAAATGGACCGCAGTGGGTCAAGTGGGTTGATCAATTCATCCATTGTACACTTTATTACTATAGTTATTTATTTTTCCTTCATTTTACTATATTTCCAGTCAGTCAGCAACCACATAGAACTTGGTACGTAGGTTCATCAGATCCATCTACGGTTCAACCGATGTAAGGTCCATGTTATTAAGCCCCTTTAGTAAGCTTGTTCTATGAAATACGGTTTTATGACGATTTGAAATAGTACTATATATATATATATATATATATGCGAGGAAACTCAATTAACGAACATATGACCAGTAAACTGTAGGGCTTGCAAATCTTGTTATTACGAAAATAATTCGAGAGACAGATGACTATAATTAGCATTGGGTTTCAAAGATTTACTCAACTATTTTAAGTGAAGTACGATACATACAAACGAGAAAAGCCTTCATCACTATAGTTTCTTACTGCATAAAATATCATAAAGATTAGGATATGATAATTTGGACCTTACTGTACCTTTCTAGCTTCCGACCAAAATAGCTACAAATGACTTGGTACGGCTGAGAGTAGAGAGATTCCACTCTCCCTATCATATAGCCACTGCCACGGAAGTTCCACTCACTCCCTTCTCGCGGCGCAGTTGTTGCTTACAAAATTGACAGGACGCTTAAACAGGGTTGGTGGGTATGGATGATCCCCCTAGGGGTGTTAAAATACCTTGATTTCAAAGCATTGGTCCACATGGGCTTCAGGATTCTAAGGAGATAAATGGATTATGAACCTGTTATTGGTCGCCAGCTGCCATGAGACTGCATTTCCTAACGTTCTACTGGCTTGCGGATTGGACCTCTAGGACGTAGCGTCGAGGAGTGGTCTCATAAGAAAGTCATCATCTGTCTTTTTGGGCATTCCGGAGTTATTCTAGCCCACACAACGATTCAGTGATTTATATGGAGCTCAAATACTTAGGTGCCCTTCTGTATTAATTCTTGTGCTTAAATAACTGGTAAAATACAATTCAAGAAGTTGTGATCCCTTTAAAACGAAGCAAAAATAGTGTTTTCATCTTAATATTATGGGCTTAACGAGTAGTCTGTTTGGAAACAAATCTTGATTGCAGGCTGAATAGTTATAACTGAATTTCCACGGATAGCTTGATTGAACTCTGTTGAAGTAGCATTTGAAGTCTGTTTCGTGTTATTATGGAAATACTCTAAGTCCATGTGGCGTTGTTTATCTACTAAGGTAACTTTCCTCATTTGGAATAGGAAATACTTCCTTTGAAAACTCTGCATCAGATTACCGAATGAAACGTTGAATTTGAAGTTCAATCGCTGAAATTGTTATGTCATTTCCTCCTTAATATCTTACAACTCAGCACCAAGTTACTGTGAAACTATTTGTTCAAACCTAGACGGTTTTTATAGGTCTTTTTTCATCAATATGTACAGATGCTTGACTTTTATTAGGACCCTTATGATTGGGACGCTATTATGGTAGGTGTCGTATTGTTTATTAATAATTATTTCACTCGACTTAATGAATCAGTGATCTCCCAGTTTACCAGTAGTTGGTGAATAATGACTAAAAACGTAACCCCTGTTGATCTCTAGTGTACTTCCGATCTCGTGTTTAATTGGAAGATGAAATCAGCAAGCGAATCTCTACTGTATTGCCGCTCATTTATACGCCTTGATTTATACAATAATCTAGAGTAAATTCCTGACCATATATTGACATAGGAAATTAAAATGTACTCGTAATTCAGTGAGAACTAAGTAATATGCCCAAAATTAAGCGACTTCAGGAAGTTGAAATATACAACAATAAATTATGCACAAAACGAAAAGATTATGACTACGAAAGACAGACAGACAGATACAACGCAGAACTTCGTACATAAGTACATCAGTTCAGGTTGCCATAACACGTCAGCACAGAGACGTAACTGTCAGTTCAAATCCAAGAGCGATAGCGTTAGTAGAATTATTAGCAGCAATGGAGAAGATTAGGGAGCGAAGATATGATTCGAAAAATATAATTATGTGAGATAAATTTAGAAAGAGAAAGGTAGAGATTATGAGGAATTCAGGTTAGAATTAAAAAGCACACAAAGAGTGAATGCACCTGCGCCATTGCAAACGATTTTGAGCCATGTCGTTCAAGGTCTCTAACCACTGGTGACTTTCGTCTCGCGGACCCCAACCAGGTAGTCTACATCTACCAATATGACTCAGTCCACTTATCAGTGACTTCATGCATTTTTGCCATGTTTTGGTCTGGCCGTCCCTAACTTTCTTCCAATCTACTCCTACACTGCAAAACATAGCTCGTCGAGGCAGTCGGTGGTTATCCAAACGTAACACATGTCCCAACCACCTCAACTGATGAAGTGTCACTACTGCGTCTATTGATCTACCATTCTTACCTAGCACCCGATTCCTAATCACGGCGTTGCTCACTCGGTTGTCCCACGATATACGAGCAATGCTTCGAAGACACCTATGATCGAAAACCAGTAACCTACGAATATCTTCTACTCTCACTGGCCATGTTTCACAGCCATAAAGTAAGACGGAGCGAACCACTGCACAGTACACTCGTCCTTTAGTCAGCAAACGGATATCTCGCCTACGCCATAAGTGACGCAGGTTGGCAAAAGCCAATCGAGCTTTCTGTATCCGAGCTGAGATTTCGTCAGTCACCAGACCGTCAGCACTGATGAGACTCCCCAGATAAGTGAAGTGATCAACACGCTGGACTACTTCACTCCCTATCACTAGTTCAGGTGCCGAAGCAACCCAGTCTTGAAGCAACATTTTGCATTTCGAGGGGGAAAACCGCATCCCGAACATGCTCGCATTGTTGTTTATGGTAGTCAGAAGACTCTGCATTTTGTCAGCGTCTTCACTGAATAGAACTATGTCATCGGCATATTCTAAGTCAATAAGCGAGCCTCCTCGTAAAAGGTCTACTCCTGAAAATTCAGACGAGGATAAGGTTATATCTAGGAGCATGTCTATGTTAACATTAAACAAAAATGGTGGGAGCTGACATCCCTGACGGACACCACTTGAAGTAAAGAATTCCGGTGACAGTTCGCCATAAGCTCTCACTCGACCATTGGTGTTCCAGTAGAGAGCTTGTATAAGGTTAATGTACTTCTTTGGTACACCTTTCGATGATAGACACTGCTACAGAACCTCACGA